CTTCGTAAATAAGGATGAAATCACGGGATGCACTGTAGACTACCAAAACGTTGGACCTCATTCTACGGACTAAGCACGACGCCTATTGAGGTCATTCATATCTACTATTCCTCCGGCTGAGCTGAACTCTTCCTTGTAGGTCAGAGTTTCCTTCCGGAGAATGTGATGATAGCTGTTTGTCAGGATAACGTTGCCTCACGTCTCTTTAACGAATAGTACTGCATTAAAATCAACTGACATGCGGATCAGCTTCCAGTTCACGGAAGATTCTGAAGGACGGGACACTGACACCCATGGCAACTCTTTGACTTTTAAGTCAGTCAACAGAAAAAGCGTGCGAGTTGCAGGCTACATCCGATCCTCTTCAATGCAGGATTCAAGTACTTATTTGCAGAAAAAAATGGATTAATCTGGGCACTCAGTTCTGAAATAACAGCAGTCCAGGACAAAATTCCTCAGGGTTTCGTTTGTAGGTAAGCAATTCCTGAAAGAATTTCAATCTATTATCTATTTTTTCTTTCAGGTGGACCTGTAGTCGTCGCTAGCGCTACTGGGAATCCATGATCAGCCGCACGTGAATGTCCGCCGCAGGCTGACTAATCGCGCTCCACTGCCACTGACGTCGTGCCTTTGGGACCAGGCGCGCTTTGCTTTTCCGTCGTGACCACAAGCCGTCCAATGAGATGCCCGCGTTACTAGACTAGCCTCATCAGTAGGTTGGCCTCAACTTGGCTGGACAGATCTCAATGTGGTGGCTGCCGCTAGACATCACTTCGGACCTAGCCCGCCTCGTGGCTGGATGTGCGCTCCGCTAGTTAAACCTACCATCTATTCTCCTTTTCGTCTGTAGAGAATACACTCCGGCCTTCCCAAGACTTCTCTCCTCTCCTAAGGAACCTGGCCTGGAGGATCGCAGCCGTTAGGGCTAAAACCTGCATAGCCTTAACACCACGCGATATACCTACACAAAGAATTTGACAGTAGGGTGAGGTTCCAACAGGTCAGCTGAACCTGCACGCTCTCTGCTAGTCACAGCCGTATCTTCAAGTTGACGTCTCAGAAGATCACGTTTTGGTTTTACCGATACTCTTGCCAATCAACAGAAATTAACAGAGAGTTTGATCAGCTGCTCTTGTACAAATAAAGATCGTGATAAATGGCCAACTACCCCATAATGCCACCATCATAAGATTAAATAAAAACAAAGCTAGAAAAATGTCAGCATACTTAAAATAGTCCTTGCGCACAAAATTATAGTCATCAACGGGGAAAGATGGATGAAGCAAATTCTTAAAACAAGGCTGATGCACTAATGGCAAGCATCCGTAAGCAGTTCAGGTTTGACGCGCTCAAATGTTGTCATAGGCATTTCCTAAAGAAAAAAAGTAAGAAGTTAATAAATGACATAAAAGGGACGGCTTGCACATACCCTCACCGGACAAACGAGCTATATAGTCCGCGATGAAGTCGAACAGAAAGATGTACTGCGACTGAAATATAGAAAGAGTGAGAGGAGGTAACTAAAACAGGCAATGGGAAACCCACCTCATTTTGCACCATGAAACGACGCTGTGAACGCAGCCACATGACAGTTTCATAAATTTTTATCGTATCGGATGGATGCGCAAACATTTTATTCAGCTTTATGGCATTTTGATCTTGGGCGTCGCGAAGATTTTCGTAGATTTCGTCTGCTCGCTGCTCAGATTTCCCGTTGGCCTGTCCGAGTTCATGCAGCACGCGAACGTGCTGACAGAGTTGGTCGAGGGCAATGAAGGTGCCTGTTCGACCAACTCCAGCACTAGGAAGGCAAAAAATGAGGTCAGTGTGTTTGCTCGTGAAAAAATGCACAAATCTATGTTGGAAGTCAAACGAGTTTTCAGAGAACGGAACATTTCATTTTGCCTTCATGGAAGTCAGGTAAATGGAAGTACAGTGACTCGCATGTGAAGCCATGCCTGAGGCCACACGATTGCTTTCCTCGCGTGTCATCGGGGCGGGCCGCATGTCTGTCTCTCGTGTCCGCTAAGCACATGCGCACCAGAGCATGTCAAAGGCAGGTTAAGGTCACGGACGAGTGTTATCCCTCTGTCTGTCCTAATTGGCCAATCACTTTCCACGGCCGGTCCACAAAGGATCTCATTGCGCTCAGTCACTCCCGGACCCGGCTCACTCATGGCTGGACTGCACTCATCCGGAAGTCAATTACCCATTACTCATACTCCGCTCCTTGTGCACTTAATTAAACTAGTCCTTACATTCTGGCCTCCCACGTCTTACGTTTTTATTTAGTAGTCTATAACCATTGGGATACGTCCATCTTCTATTACCCGAGCGGACTACTTCGTATCCTACAGAAGTATGAGAAATGGCATTGTTTTCCAGAAAAGAAGAGCGCATTCAGTTAAGAAAATTCTGTTTTGCAAATCGGCCACGTTTTGTGCCATAACATTAAGTTAGAAACTTGAGAGGCTGTAATTTATTTTACCCCGCACCGAAAATAAGGACCATAAACAAGCATGTATATGAACGCCCGCGAGATGCCGTCAATTTTCTCTGTTACACCGTGCATACAAGATGTCCAAACATTTTTAATCTACAGTTCAGTATGAAGGAATAGGGAGACTTGAAGCAGTACGGGCAGAATATTATCAGTTTTCGCAAAATGTTAGCACATATTCTGTCAATCTTTTGTGCATTTTCAATCTTATAATGGAGCATAAAAGTATACAAACATACTGCTTTTAAGAAATATCTTATTTTACAAGATTTTAGTAGAACAAAATCCTTATTTATGGACAATCGAACGAAAACACTTAAATCCTAATGTGTTTACCGTAATTTCAAGAAATATCTGAACCCCGTCATAGCTGAACACACGCAATTATTACAAAGCACTGTGACGAAAGGAAAATTCTCTCAGCGCACACAGAATGCTAAGTTTACGCTTTTACCTGGCAATTTCATTGAAATTTATTAGTCACTGACTGGTATAACCACATGTGAGTTTACAAAATAGCTTATTCCCGTGACGTTGCAACCTGTGCAATCAAGCGAAAATCTGGTTGACTTAGTCCGACGTATCTCAAGTAATGTATGAACGGGGTTGTTTGGTAACAGCTATATTTTACAATGCGCGTAATACGGAGGCATATTTCTCTGACCATTTCATAAAAAAGGTTACTTTAAAGCGTAAGTCTACTTGTTCTGCTTTGTTCATTTGTTTTGTTTTGCACGACCAGACTTCCTCTAGATTCATAACCTAAGTCTACTCAGTAACCTCGACACTTCCCTTTTTCGAAATGTTCAGCTTTTCTAAAAAACCCTAATGTTTTTAAACAACGTCCTACGACTTGATAAACCACAGTATGTGTTCCCCTTCTTTTTTGATTAAGATGTTTAGTTTACTGCTGTAAGCCTTTGCGTGAGACTGCTTGGGCTACCTTGGGGTACCAGTAATTTTCTTGCAAAATCCTTTGATCTTAGCACCCGTACGCTTAGCACCTGTACTCTCAATGAAGCCCGACCCGCGTAATTGTCTTCACAGGGTATGCAAATGAAAACGCAGGCCAATCTGCCTACCTGCAGTGCACCAGGATGGGACTGGCAGCGTCCTCCAGTTTCTTTCGGCTATCCCAGTACTCCGACAGAAAGGCGTAAAAGTCGTCTTTTCGGGGCGCAGAAAAGTCCGTCCAGGCTGTCATATGAAGCTGAACGACTCTTCTTGGGGCTATTTTCTCCTCGTCCTGAAGCAAAAGAGCAGCATGACATAGGCGTCTCGAAAAACAAACAAAAAATACTGGCAACCACCTCACCAGCTTCCTGTTGGTGTTGTATCATGGTGGACAGCCAACGAGGCTCTCCGATTTCCCTGTACAATGCTGGCTGCTGCTTCAAGGTCACGCAATTTCGCAGGGAGCCCTCGCTGA